AATAAAAGGTGGCCCCCTCTCACATCAATGTTGACACATTTAGTTCCTAAGTAAATAATTTAAGAGGATTCTGTCTATATAAGGCCTGGCATGATCATATGCCACTGTAGTTCTAAGGAAAGGGGATATGGCTCACTGGTCGAATGCTCTGGATTCAACACCTAGTGCTGTCCCCCAGAGCAAAAACTAGATAATTATACAACTATTACAATGAAACTTCTAGAAACAAGGCCCGTAAAATAAAAAGCAAACAAAATAGCACGTACCTCACAAATATACATTGTGGGGACAATATAAAAATCTACCTGGTTAATAAAAATGAAGATAGAGGTAGGCAGAAAATGAATATTAGGAATAATGGAAACACAGACTTTCTGTTCAGAGTTCCAGTGACTGACATTATTGCCTTCACCCACAAAGCACAGGTAGCCAAGGTGGGTGGTCACAGGAAGCTGTACAGGGATGTAAGATTTGCAACAGACCTTGGACTCCGTTAAACTCAACAAGCTGCAAGGGCATCTTCAAGTGGGTCAGCAAGCCACTTATGAAGAGTGCATGCAAATGCAAACACAACTGAATCTGAGTTACTCTGCAAGATAGCATCTTTCCCAAAATCAGCAAAAATTACATTTAGTGTTATTAAATGTTATATGGAAGAAAAAAGCAGACATTTCCTCTGTAAATGCTTGGAAAGTAGAACATATTTAGAGGAGGCCATTTGGCCATATCCATCAAAATCTTAAAGGTACACAGCCTTTGAGTCTACAAATCTCTTGGTCATAATGTACTCTTAATTTTAAAAGCATACCAGAATTCACAAAGGTATTTACTGCACTGTTTGAATTGCCAACACTGCAAATAATGTAAGTATGAATCAAAGGGAAAATCTAAATATGAATCAAAAGGAAGTTAAAGGAAATTAACGTGAGCCCAGATAAATGAGTAGTTATTAAAACTAAAGCAAAAATAGGGACAGTGCCAGGGGTTTAGCTCAGTGGCACAAGCATCTAACTGGCAAGCGTGAGGTCATGAGTTCAATCCCCAGTACCAAAACAAAAACCACCAAAAAAAATAGGGTCGGGGGTTTGCAATTGTTCTATTTTTGTTATAGCTTATGTATTTGCCAAACTTCATAGGACTATATATGTAAAACAGATGTTATCTTAAGTATACCAATTAAGAATACTGCCTTTAAAACTATACAGGCAGGAAGACAAGGTGCAGTATGATCCCGTGTATACAAAATTGGCTACTAATAACATTATAGAGAGAAGAACAACAATGGGAAGGCGTTTATTACAGTACTCATAATGGTAACTGCTTTTGGCTTCCCTGTCTAAAAATCAGTGACTGACATTACTGCTTTCGCCCACAATGCAGTTAGCCAAGGTGTGTGGTCACAGGAAGCTGTACAGGAATGCAAGATTTGCAACAGACCTTGGACTCAGTAAAACTGAGTAAGTTTCAAGGTTATCTGTAGGTCAGCAAGCCACTTACAAAAAAAAAAAATCTTGTAAAAGTATTGTGACAGAAAACTAAATGCTAAACATACCGTTTATCAATTTCAATCACCACCCTAAAGAAAGCCTCAACACCAAATTTGTTCATTTCCAAGAGAAAAGAATTGTCTATACTCTTTACCCAAATATGGAAATTCCAAGAATGTAGTATTTACAATACAGAAATGATGGAAAATTTATTCAGCTGGTAACTCTGTAGCTCAATGACCAAGATGTTTTAGCACTAAAAATATTTTGCCAGTGCCAGTGATTTTTAGGACTAAAATTTCCTTGAAAATAAATGACCAAACATTTTTTAAGGTAGCATTTAATTTAACTTTTCAGAATCAAGCCCACCCCCCAAAATTTTTTTTTTTTTTTTTAAGTTTTAAAAAGCCTCTGGACAACACAAAACCTGTTCCAGACACTACAAAGCCTATCATAGGCACAAGGGACTGACAGGAGTTTACAGTGGATTGTGAGGAGGACACACAATCCTCTCATGTGAGAAATTACAGAAGTCAGTCATATAGGAAGTGGAATCCAGGATCACTGGGAAAGGTCCCATCTCTTTATCTATATTTGACATACTTGAGCACAACTGTAAATGAAAGACACATTTGAAGAAATATACCAACAGTGAGACTGGAGCTGCAAAACAAAACTTTAAAATTTGGATAATCCAGTTGTATATCATTATACAAGGACAACAACTGTCATAACCTATAAGCATAATTCTCTGTGACCACAAGTATTTAAATTCTTGGTCCAATATTAGCCATAGGAACCTATTTAAATGTTCACTCCCCTAGTTATGTTAATGTTTTTTCAAATGTTCAAGTCACATATAACTATTGGCTAGCATACTGAACGAGAGATACAGAACATTTCCAACATCACAAAAAGCCCTCCTGGACAATAATTAAGTCTAAAAAAGTTTCACTTTAAATATCTATAGCCAGGGACTGGGGAGACAGTTCAGTGGCACAGCACCTGCCTGGCCAAGTGCAAGGTTTTCGATTCCCTGTACCAAAAATTTTTTTTCTATACTCATTTATACTATCTCAATTACCCAATGAATAGCAACAACAAAAGAGTTACCTTTGATACCGGCGTTAGGATTATCCAGCCCTGTATTTTTGGAGATAAGAACATGGAGGACTAAAAAGGATTAACCAGTGGTGGAAAGTGGCCCACATTTTTTTCTTCTGATCAGATCTCCTCTATCTCATTAAATAATGGCAAACAAATGAAGGAGCAAAACATTTCTTTTTGTTTTCAATCCACTATCACTTGTTCAACTATAACTGGGCAGACTATGTGACAACTTCTGTAACCCTTTCCATCTTCTGAAACCAGTATTTAGGAATGAAATGTTTTAAAAAAATACAAGTAATATTTACTTCTTTTAGTCATCTGATAATCAGACTGATTCTGAAGGCAAAAGTCTTGGAATAAAGAAATATGGCAATCACTAAACTCCACCAAATTCATCTAATCACACTGGGTTATGTTTAGAAGTCAAACCTTGAGGGTAAGGAATTCTGTAACATTTCTCAGCTCATCAGGTCACTGAAATTCCCTCGGATTCTAGTTGCAAAAAAACGACAGAATTTGCATCTCTGGAAGACAGGTATCACTGCTTTGTGGAGTAACTGTCTGACAGGCCTAAAATGATGTTCAATTTTTTACTTGCAGAAAGTAACTATCAACTCTATAAAACTTATACTGGAGTTAAACAATGAAAAGGTGATAAATTACTTCACTTGATCATTCCTTCATATGTTCATTTATGTACTCTTGTACTCATTCATTAAAGTGTGTATAATATCAACATTTATTAGGCTCCTACTATGGGTGCCCAGCCTCTGTTAAGACATGACAGCCAAATAAATCATTGGCTGAATGCTGAGGGAACATATGTAGAATTATGTAGACCTGGAACAGCAACCTGCAAGAAAATACTAACACTGAAACTAAGCAATAAAGGAGGTGGGGAACAAAAACCTGCCCCTTCCAAACACATTACATTGCCACACCTGCAACAGCATAATCATTTTGCACAATCCACACAAGATTATCTTCCTAACTAATGAAAAAAATGACTCATATCAAGGCAGGGGGCACTGATTTTAGAAAAACAAGCTATTCTTTCCTTAAAGCAACAAAAAACAAAACAAAAAACTCAATGAGTATCACGATAATGCTTCAGTCTCTGCGTAGCTGGTGAACAAAGACTTTGGTTTGCAGTACAATTTACCTGTTCTTTATTTTCTATTCCAGAAGCATAGTGTAGTGTAGTGTGGTGCAGAATAAAAGCCAGTAAGGGCAAGAAGTCTTTTTGACATTTTTGTTAATTCAGGAGATCCCCTGACTTTTTGAGACTGGGTGTGAACTGTGTGTCTCTGTCCACTCTCCCAGGATCTCAGCCCTCCTCCCACAGTCTCACCAGACCTTTGGGGACTGTTATCTCACATAAGTTAACAGTCTTGCCTTAAGACAGTGTGTATGTGCCAGGGCTTGGTCAACAATCTGAAAACAAATACATAATGAGTTTTATTTGAAGGTCAGAAGTAGTGTCCATTTTCCCATTTTATTTTTCCTGGATCAGGTCATTATATAAACAAAGAAAATTTTCTTTTATACATAATGTGTAAAAAGCACCAAGATTTTCTAATACAGGAAGAAAAAAAAGCAAACAAAGAATTCAAGTACCATCTTGTACAATATAAAAATTGAACTCTCATTCAAGAAAATGTGTTAAACATTAACATCAAGTTTAGGCTACTTCTCATCACAAAAACATCAAATGTAAACAGATCATTTTAAGGCAAAGGGTAAGTGAAGCCATGATCCACAGGTAGACATTTCAAAAGAGGTCAGAAGACTCAAGAACTGGAAAAACTTAAGGAGTGTAAGTAATGTGCAATTTATTAACATTTTACCTTCTTTTTACGTAAAATGGTTTTTCACCATGATCTGATAATCCACACCAACTGGTAGTGACTACTATTACCATCTTTGTCATCCAACTATAGGACATTAGTGAAAAAATATTCAATTTAAGAACTATATGCCTCTAGGCAGGATTTTCACAAGGTATATTCCAAGCAACAACCACACACAGAATTCTAGGTTAAGGGTTTTGGTGATAAGTTGGGAAATGCTGAATTTTTCAGAGACAAGTTTTTTCCATCTCTGAAAGCCTTTAATGTTGGCAGTATATAAATGTGTAGATCTGATGATGACTCTTTTTTTCTCAGAATGGTTCCATAGTGACCAGAATGATATGGGAAATCCTGAAGCACAAGTATGTTGTCTGACAATGAGGAATCCAAATTCAGGGTAATAGTTTCTTCTAAGAAAGGAAAAGAGGCTACAGAGAGGAACACAAAGGCCTTCAACCATATATGGAAGTGCATTTTCTCAAAGACATTCAGAAATAAATATAGCAAATGTATGGATTCGGTTATTACAAAGTGACAGCATGTGTTTTTCAAATTGCAAAAAATGTATGGTGCCAAAGGAGGAACCAATACACAAATGGAGAAGCCCAAACTTCATTGCAAAGGTAGAGGCATCATAAACTGGTCAATTCCCTATTTAAACCACATATTTACTAGCATAAGCAGGTAAAATGGTTCCTATGGCTAAGTACAAATTACATATTCACATGGAAAAATGACCAAGACTGACATTAATGCAAATTAAGCATACAACCAATGATTAAATGCCATGTAACTACGCTACTACTTCCAGCATCAAAGCAAACAAAGTTTTACAAATTTATGATGAAATATATGTCTGATTCAAATCAAAATACACAAGTGTAAGCATTGCTGGAACTTAGGGGTAAAACTGCAACAATAAAGAATGAAATGCAGAGTCAGGAAATGATTGGTGAAATAGAAAAACCAGTATTATTTTTCCAAACCATTGGCTGGGAGTATTTAGTGTATCAATTCTCTGTAGTGTTCAGTTACAATATCCAGAAAGAAGCAATTTTGTTGAATGCTTTGTGATAATTGGCACATGTCCCACCCTTTTCAAATTTTGAGACAAGGCCTTGCTAAATTGCCCAGGCTGACCTCCAATTTACAGTTCTCCTGCTAGTGCCTCAAGAGTATCTGGAATTAACATACTAGCTTTTTAAAATTTTACTACATTTTCTTAGACAATTTTAGAGTATTCATTAAAGATATTTAAAGGGAAGGAATGTAACCAAATATTCTTCAACTTCACTGTTGTTGCACTCTTCCAGAACCACGATATGGGCACAGATCATCAGGCACACTTGAGCCATTCATCTGAGCTGGCAGAGACTTGTATCCCACACACATCCAGAAAGCAACACGAAGTCCACTGGCAGAAACGGTGCATTGGGCTTTGCATGTGTGCATGCATGTATATGTGTCATTCAATAATCAATTGTTCTCTAATAAAACTTCTGTAGACATTCACGATGCAATAACAACACACAGGGGAAGAAAAAAGTATACAGTAGATATCTGAAAAACCAAAATGTACAAAACCAAAAGAAAAAAACATTTACAAGACTGATAGAAGTCTGGCAATAACAAGACTACCAGGAAGTTTAGCAATAGCTATCACTATCAGGCCAAGACAAAAATGAAAAGAAACCTCTAATAACGAACAGTGGAGCCCAGGAAACAGATGTTCCGAGTGATGTGATGAGCACGTCCAGCGTAAGCCTACCTTCTGAAAGCAAGTTCAAAAACTACACTGGTTCACTTTCAGTTAGCCAGGCAATAGATTTTTTTAGTTTATGTACACAAAAGGAACAAAAAATTCTAGCCAAACTAAAAGTATTTAACCCCATAGTAATCATTCACAGAATAAGTGAATTTTGAATGTTTTGTCAGAATCTTCTTGGGCATAGTTCCATTTTTGGCAAATGTGATTCCCTTTAATCTTGTCTCTTCCTAATACTACTCACGTTTCGAAAGAACAGTAACAGCAGCGACAAAAATGTAGCTGTATCAGAATGAAGTCACATAAACTCTTAAATACCACTGAGGGCAAGTATTTTTCACACAATCCCCAGCAGGCTGTATGAGTTTCAACTACTAAGAATTTTTCCGTCAATAAGTAAGCTGGATAACAAACTCCAAGTGGATCTTTTTTCTTCTTCTCCAACTAGATCTTAATAAATTTCACCATTTTTGTTTCAAAGATCAAAGTAGAGAGCTAAAAAAAATCTCAAATGAAAGATGATTAATTTCAATTATATCAAAACCATGTTCCAATTGGGCATGGTGACGAACACCTGTAACCCCAGGAATTGGCAGGCTGAGGCCAAAAGGATGGCTATGAGTTTGAGGCCAGCTTGGGTTACATAGTTAACTCAAGGCTAGCCTGAACTACACAATGAGACTGTGTCTCAAAAACAACATCATCATCAAATTACAAAAAAGTATAGACCATATTGATATAAATAACTGAGTAAGTGGGGTTAAGAATGAAGTCTCCCATGAGTAAGACTTTCAAATAACTTATGTAGCTATACCACCACGTCGAAGGTGGCACATAATTAATTAGGAGTTCATTCCCAAGAGCAAAGTATGGGTGGGGGAGCAGAATCCAGAATCCTGACATAGAGTATTTCAAGCAAGGTAGCATAGTTAACCTCAAGTCAACAGTACACACCATGGTATAAAACTGTAACTTTACCTCCATGCTCTACATTCCAAAAAACAATGCCTTCAAGTCTAATTACGAGGAAAACACCAGTTAAATTCCAAGGATAGTCATAAATATTATAAGTCTCATAAATACACTGGATGCAAGGAAAAAGGGCAACAAAATCTTGGAAAGTGCTAAAGTGGGGGTGGGAGGGACACACTGAATCTAGCATCCCTATCCTGCCAAAGTATTGTTTGATAAACATAGGCATGAAATAAAAGCCATACAAGAACATTTAAAATTTTTTTCATATACTCAGTAGGCTGAGGCAAGGTAGATTATTAGTTCAAAAACAAGCGTAAGCTACAAAGTGAGACCCTGTCTCAAAACAACTATTTTGTTACTCACAGATTACAAAAAGAGAAAAACCACTCTAGAAATGTGGAAATCAAATAAAGCAAATTTAATAATTAAGACAATATGTGTTTCTTTTGATGGGTGCTTAAAACCGCCATCTTCTTGTACTTTATTAATGAATGAATGAATGAATGAATGAATGAATGAATGTCAAAAAGCCCAGAGAGCAAAAATTAGACCTGTAAAAACTGTATTGAAAGTCCAAATTCTGTTCTTGGATAAAACAGACTATGTTTCATCTGCTCTGCTGAGTAGCGGCAAGAGTGAGTTGTGAGAATGTTTACTTCCACTCACAAACTACTGTTAATTCCCTCTAACAGAAGGGAGTAACCAAGGGATGAAATTAGCTTTGCCCAACAGAAGCAAAAGTACAGTGTCAAATCAGCTGTACTTGAATCAACCAAAGAATGTGTTAAATATAATTTAATTCAAATGGGTACTGTCTCATAATGTGTAGTCAAATGGGTAGGGTCCCATGCTCACGCTATTAATAAAAAATGTGAGTACACCAGATGTTAATCCTCAGACATCACTTACTAGTTACATCTTCATGTACTTTACTTATCCTTAAAAATTTCATGAAAAAAACTGCTCAATTATGGGGTTATTTCCAGAGTTAAATGAAGCACTGTCATCTTGCCCAGTTCTTGTTATTGTAGAGTTATAGGTTTCAGAGACAAAGTCTCAACTGTGTTTCCCAGTCTGGTCTTGAGCTCCTGGGCTCAAGTCACCCTCTTGCCTCAACCTCCTGAGTAGCTGAGACCACAGGTAGGCACCATTCACTCCTTTGTTCTAGCATTCATTCTGAACATGCAGTGAATAAAACCTTTCATTCTGACCCACACTCTGCCCTGAAAGAGCTCACTATAGGGACAGGTATTCCATAAAGATTTTACAATTCAACAAGAGCTATTAACACTAGGAACAGAGTATAAAAGATTAAAAAATAACTTGAGAGCACATCCTCAAAGCAAAATTTCTCTGAGACTCTTATTTCAGTTTTCAAATGGCTACTGAAAAAAGAGATTGAGCTTGGACTACCAACATCCAATTCAAGTATTAAGACATGATGCAGTACCATTCACCTCTCAGGGCTGGGAAACCTAAAATGGGAGACAACCATTCCCTTCACTGTTGACTCTTTTTAGTGATTAAGATATATATGGAATTGGGATTATAGCTCAGTGGTGAGGCTTTTGCTCACTATGGATAATACACTGGGTTCCATCACTAACACAACAAAATACAATAATACTTATAGATACTTTAGATGTGACTACAGAGTCCATTGGACTAAAATGCTAACTCCAAATCAAGATGGTGGGGCAAGACATTTAGCACAGTGGCATAAGCATGTGCCTGGCAAGCATGGGGTTGTGAGTTCGATGCCTGGTACCCCCCCCCCAAAAATCAAGATAATGATACCAGTCACCTCATTATTTTCGGCATAAATTTTGGTAACTCTACATTTTCTCAGTTTTAAAAAACTGTTAATGCATTTCTAGGCAGGAAAAAACTTTCAGAAAAAACACTAAGTTTAAGTGGGTTTTTTTTTTCAGTTAATTATTTACCTCTATATTCTGCAATGTCACAGACTGTCATATATTTAAATAGAATTAAATTTTAATACGCCGAGTTGTTTTTTGGTGTGTGTGTGTGTGTGTTTTGAAACAGGGCCTCACAATGAAGTCCAGGTTGGCCTTGCAGCAATTGCTTCTTTACTAAAGACTGTCCTTCCCTACCAACCTGTAAACAAATCCAGAAGGTCTACTATCCAAAACAAGAAATGCATATATTAAAGCCAGGCATAACAGTGCTCACCTACAGCCCTGGCACACAGGAGCCAGAGGGAGGAAGATGCTGTGTTCAAGGTCAAACTGAGCTATAGTTTCAACCTTGTCTCAAAAATTAAAAAATCCCAAACACACATGCATGCACACACACACGAACACTGCAAAGCATAAAAAGACAAGAAATAAAGAACTTCATGTATTAATCAAGACAAAATTACCAAATATTTAGCCACTGCCCAGGCATGGTGTCACACACCTGTAATTCTAAACTCTTGGGAGGCTAAGGCAAGAGAATCAGTGCTGAGTTAAGAGGCCAGCCTGGACTACGTAAGCAAGTCCAAGGCCAAGCCTGCACTACACAGCAAGACCTTATCTAAAAACAAAAATCGAGTATTTGGCCAAACAAGGATCACTAGAGATTTCAGGCAAATAAGCTGGAAAGAAAGACCAGAGGGAAAAAAAATTCAGGGTAAATGGCTTTGGGACAGTAGGACATGGTGGCGCACACCTGTAATCCAGTACTTGAGAGGCTGACACTGCGAGCGTGAGGCCAGCCTCAACTACAAAGTGAGCTGAAGGCCAACCTAAACTGCATCCTGACACACTGTCTCAAAAAACAAAACAAAAGACAAAACTTATTGTTAGGAAAAACAAAATGACCAATCACTAAGATTGCTAGAAATGAAACACAATTGATAAATAAAGTTGGGTGTCAGGCAAAAAAACCAAAATGAGCAGGAAGGCTAAATAGTAATCACTATGATAAAAACAGAAACCTTGCAATACTTAAACAACAGAAACACAAAATAAGAAAGAAAAAATAACACAAGGCAAACAGAATCAAGATACCCAATGTTCATGTTCTGAGAATTCCACAAAATACATAGAGAAATGTGAAGACTGCAGATTAAAGAATGTCAAGAAAGATTACTTTCAGCTGGGCGTGGTGGCTCAAGCCTGTAATCCCAGCACTCGGGAGGCTGAGGCAGGAGGATCATTGTGAGTTTGAAACCAGCCTGGGCTACAAAGTGAGCTCAAGGCCAGCCTGAACTGCACAGCGCGAGACCCTGTCTCAAAAAAGACAAAAAAGAAAAAGAAAGATTACATTCAGGGACAGAGATATAGCTCAGTGGTGCAGCACCTCCCCGGCAAGAGCAAGGTCTTGAGTTTGACTTGCAGTACCCACAAAAAAAAAAAAAAAAAAAAAAAAACAAGGTTGTTTAAAATATCACCTACAAGAAACACTAAATCTGCTGATGACGGAGTAAGCAAACTCTTGAAGACACAGGTGCAAGCGAAGACTTCATGAACAAAACCAGATTGCATAGGAACTATCACAAAGAATCAACAATTGGAATCTCATCCTACTGAAAAGCTTTTGCTCAGCAAGAGAAACCACCAACAGAGTGAAGAGACAACCCATGTGGGAGAAAATGTTGGCGAGGTGTTCCTCAAAGAATTACTATCAAGAACACACAAAGGAGTCTGAGGATTTAGTCCAGTGGCATGAGCTCCTACCTGGCAAGCACAAGGTCATTTACTGGTACCCCCCCCAAAAAAAAACAACCCACATAAAGAACTCCAAAAAAAAAAAAAAAAACAAATCAGTCCTCCCACATTTAAAGATCCAATCATCTGAGCTGAATACACAATTCTCAGATGAGGAAATACAAACAGCAAACAAATATGTGAAAAAATGTTCAACGTAACTAGTCATTCGAAGTATGCAAATTTAAACAAGGTACTACCTCACCCCAGAAAGAATGGCTATTATTAAGAAATTAAGGGCCGAGGATTTAGCTAAGTGGCACAAGTGCTTGTTTGCAAATGCGAGGTTGTGAGTTTGATCTCCAGTACAAAAAAAAGAAAGAAGAAATCAAGCAAAAACAAATACTGGAGGTACTGAGGGAGAAAAGGAATCCTTCTCCGCTGTTGGTGGGAATGCAGGCTGGTGCAACCACTGTGGAAATCAGTGTGGAGATTCCTCAAAAAACTAGGACCAGGGGTCCCACTTGACCCAGTTACTCTATTGCTATCTTCCTAAAAGAATTACAAATATCATACCACAGTCATGTACGTGAACCCATGCTTATGGCAACACAATTTGTAATAGCCAGAACTTGAAAAAAACCTAAATGCCCACTGACTAAGGAATGGATAGAAAAGATGTATTTTTCTACAGTAGAGTACTACACAGCCATGAGAACAAACTGGAGACTTTCATAGGTAAATGGATGCAACTCAAGACCATACTTATTATTGAAACAATACACATGTATAAACATATTGTCTCAGTAGTGTCAGAAGCTGAAACAATGTATGTATATGTGAATGTATACTAAAGAAAGTTAAGATAGTTATACTACTGATTTCTCTGAGGTTGCTGAAGAGAAAAGACTTGTGCTGATACTGTTCAGACCACTGAATGCAGACGTTTTATGCTCCGGGTGAATGATTTGGGGATGACAATGCACAATGTATGGCCCACTGTTGCCCCCTGAATGATGTGTTTTGAATTTGTGTTGAAGGGTTTTTTTTTCCTTCTTCTTCTTCCCCTTGAAATAACATGGATTTGGGAGGGGGAAAAAAAGAAAGCCAACATGTCATAAACTTGAAAATAAGTAAATTTTTAAAAATCACCTGCAAGAGGCTGGGGATTTAGCTCAGCGGCATAAGCGCCTGCCTCGCAAGCAGGCAGTCATGAGTTTGATCCCCAGCACCGATAAAAAGGAAAAAGACAAAAAAGAAAAAAAAAAAAAACACCTGCAAATCCATAGTTTAAAAAAAATTTTAATAGAGAAAAAGGTCACTTAAAGAATACTCAATGAGTAAAACTAGAATTACATCTAACATTTTACCAGCAAAACAATGGAAGATAACTAAGGCCCTTCAAAGTTCTGAGGGAAAAGGACTTGAAGAATCTAAGAATGAATACACCCCAGACAAATTATAAGTCAGGTTTAAGTGTTATGACAAATTGAAGACCTTTCCATACACACATATTTTGAAACTGATTACCCATGCACTGTTCTGAAAAAATAATATGTTTTTCAACTGAACAGAAAAAAATGAGTTGACTGAGAGACCATGAAATTCTGGTATGACAGTAGTCATAAGCACAGAAAACAGTCCAAATTATGGGAAGTTGGAGAACATGAAGAATGCACTGAAAAACAAAATCAAAATCCATTCCAATTGTAAAATTAAAAAAAAACAGTTGCCAGGATAAAGGTTTTAGTGACACTAAGAAAAAGAGAGTAACTCGAAGAAAAACTGTAACCAACTAAAAATCATGGCATTACTTCAATAGCTGCCAGAGTGACAGATTTAAAAGAAGTGTTGTTAACAACATTCTTTCATCTGGTCACATGATTATCATTCTTCCTCCAAGGCCTGATCACATTACTTAATCCTGTGATACAGTAGAAATGCTACACTTTTTTATTTTTTAGAATTTTTAAATAGGAAAATAGAAGATAGCTATAGTTAAGTAACAATAAAAATGGCTAAAAATCCATGACTATATATAAGTAAAGAAAGATAAAGAGGTAAACAGTAGAGAATTAGAAAACAACACTTAGTGGAAGAATCCTGCATAAAATTAACTGGTGGCCCACAAGAATTAGATTTAAGCACACTTAAAAGTTATAAACAACTACAATTCACCATAATAAAAACCCAGAAGTGCATAACTGGTGGCAAAGACCATTAAATTCCTCACTTTTCAAGATAGGAAAGAAAAGATATGCCATACCAAACAGATACAGTAAGATATTTATAATTCTGATGGTAAACACAGAACAAATAAAACTCAAAAGAGCAAGGCATGGTGCCACACATCTGTAATCCCAGCACTCCAGGAGGCCACAACAAGAGGATCATAAATCTGAGCCTAGACCAGACAATTTACCAACTTACAAAAAGCATCTCAAAATTCATAAAGTGGGTGGGTAGATTGGGAGGGAATGTAGCTCAATGCAAAGAGTCTGGGTTTAATCATCAATAACATATCATACATACACACATACACACTTGCACACGTGCACATGCGCATGCACACAAGTTCTATCCCTTCTATGGTGTCAATGATTTTACTGTCAAAGTTTTTAAAAATAAGTAACTTTCTTAAACTTTGTAATTAGTGACTTCTAGGACATCACTGACAACTCATTTTCCAAAAGTCCTTTGATTCACTGATTTGAAGTCTACTATCACAAACCTAATGTAAAAGAAAACTTATCTAAGTGCAAACAAAAATAAAGGCACTATGAAGCTTAATACACAACTTTCTCTTAGCAAAAATATCCTGTAACTCTTAAGAGTTACATTTAAATGCCTATGAGGAATGGTTAAATAATTCATGACAATCACATGCTATAGATCATTATCAAGTGAAGACAAGACGATAATGACCAAGACATATATTGTGTAGTAAGAAAAACAAATAGCAAAGAAATGTGTATAGTTTAATTCCTTTTCTACAGTAATATGTTAAAAATATTTTTTTTGTACATGAATAACAACTCTGGAAAGATGCACACCAAATTATTAACAATGTTAACAATGCTTACCTCTGGAGATTCAGAAAGAGAAAGGGAAGACTTTTACTTCTAATTGTTTAACATTTTAATGAAGGTGTGTTCTCTTTCCAGTAGGCAGAAGTTACAAGAAAAATAAATGTTGCATTAATCCCACCCAATTTTCTCTTTACCTTTCCATCCCTCTCACCCAACAACACTGTTGTACCACAGAGCTCAGTCTTCCACAGGGCACAATGTGAACCCAGCTCACAACTCTCCATAAGAGAGTTCTTACTTCCATAAGATACACAGATTATATCTGAGGTCACGTGCGACTCATGAAAGCAATGCATTTAGTCTTGACCTTGGTTGGTGAGGAATGGCACTGTTAATGAAGTCAGGTTGCAAGTGAGATCCTTGTATGTCAGTGATTGCATTCATCATCTGTCATCCTGGTCACATAGGACAAGATATAGAGATATCAAAGTAAATTCATTTTAACTAGCTAACAGTGAACACTTCTGTAAAATACATTCTCAGAGTGGGTTTCAATGGTAGGGTTCTTCTGTTCTGAAGAACATGTCAGTGTATTATAACCAGCATTCCAACATTTCTTTGCCAGCAGGCACACAGAAATCCGGTAATCATGCTAATGATGCTTCCCAAGGAGAAGACACTGTTAACCAGGTATGTGGAGGAGCACTGCCTCTTTGCTCTGGGGAACCAGTGTAATGTTGCGACCTGTGAGCCATACGTGTTCCAGTTTCTGGTTTGGTCTTTTCATCTTCAGTCAGCAAAGTGGATATAAAAATGAAAACAATGTGGCACAATAAAGATTTTTCACCCTTTACTGTGTTTAAGAGAATTTTTCTTTTACTATACTTTTGTAGAACCATCAATAATAAAAGACTGGAGAAAAACAGACTGAGGACATAACACAACAAAAGTTCTGGTTATAGAAATATTCGTAACAAGAACATCTAGTTTTGATTCAGCTTAAAATTAAGATGCTTATCTTAGGGCCAGGGGTTTCGCTCAGCAGCACAAGCACCTGCCTAGCAAGCATAAGGCCACAAGTTCAATCCCAGTATCAAAAAAAAAAAAGTGTATTTTAGAATGTTAAACACAGGACCAGAGTGAGTGCCTGCCCTGGCAAGTGCAAGGTCATGAGTTTGATCCCTGGTACCAAAAATAACATACCATAAACATACCACACCACACCATAACATGTTAAAACACACCCAACCCCAAAATATAGGTTTTCTTGGCCTTTGTTTTTACAAGACATTGCAGACCTACACTGAAGCCATACAATGTAGATTTAAAGTACCTGTAAATCCAGAGTATTTCCATTTAAGATAAACTAATCAAATTAGAACTCAAAAAAGCAGCTAGTGGTTCTCAAAGATGACTCAGATATATTCAACTATTCAAAAAACTGGGCCGGGGACTTAGCTCAGCAGCATAAGCACCTGTCTGTTAAGCGCAAGGTCATGAGTTCGATTCCCAGTATCAAAAAAACAAACAAATAAACAAACAGGAGCAAAGCATGATGGCACACACTTGTAATCCCAGCTATTTGAGAGGTTGAACCAGGAGAACTGCCAATTTGAGGCTAGCCTAAGCAACTTAACAAGACCTCTGTCAGTTAAAACAAACTGGAAATACAGCTCAGTGGTAACAGCATTTGCCTAGTGTGGTTGAGGTCTTGGGTTCAATGCTTAGTATGGCAAAAAATACGTAAATAAATAAATAATCAAACAAATGCACAAGCAGGTAAAACCAAAGAGAACTCTGAACTCTGGAGATAGTATATGACAAATGTTGGGAGTAAAAATTTTAACAATTTCCTGTGGATCTTCCGATATGAGTGTGGAGGTAGGAGGACTTACAGAAAGATAAGTTTAAAAAAATAAGCCATGGTTTTATTTCAATACAATGTTATTTATTTAAATGTGGCTTACATTACATTTAATTAACATTTCTAAACCTAAGAATCACTACTGAAAAGAGGGTAACATCCCACTTAAACTCGATTCAATTGCCTCCCTCTGACACCTCTCCTAATCAATTTCCTCTTTAACTAGCTTCTTTAACTAAAATATTGTATGTTCTGTTTTACATGACTTTTGGTTTACATGATTTTAGCATCCGTCTGACATATATGACTTAAACAACACACACCGGCTCAGCCTGTATTTGGAGGATGCCTTCTGCATAAGAAAGGCGCTGTCACAGAAGCCCTGGGATGCAGGTTATCACTGGTCCCACTTGATAGGTGAGGAAATGCATGAAAGACTAGCTCAGTAGTAGAGCTAGGATTTATACCCACAACTACTGGCTTTTAGCTGAGTAATGTTTAAAGCATCTCTGAAGAAGAAAAAGATTGTCCTAAGTAGAAACTATGTATGTAGAATTCTGGACCAGGTACAGCACAGGTTTAATAGTAAAATAGTCTTCTTGTCATTTAACCACAATAAACAGTAATTACAGTATATTCTTTTGTCATTAAATTTTAAAGCAACACACCAAGTAGTTTACAGTAGTTTTTCCTTTCCTTCTTATAGGGAAAAAAAAGGCTGTTATGAGGCTGTGATCTGCAGCTCAGTTGCAGAGTTCTGTGAGCCCTTGTGTTGAAATCCTACCAGCAGGACAAAACAACAGATAATATACCATGTACAGATTATAATATACAACAGGGCCAGCAAGAATCATGAAAATGGGTTTTGATCCAAACACAGTTAGTTTCAAAATACAATACCTTATTATTCAGACACTTTAACCAAAAGGTCACCATAAATTCATGTACTGAGGGGGATGAAGCCCAGGGCTCTGGCCAATGGAGGAACATTTTCACTCATATGCCTAGATCTATAAAGATGAATTCTGGCATCTATACATAATCTAGATACAGACACGAATGATTATGTAGTAACTTCCCAGCCAATTATGTGCTAATTGCTCAATACATAAATCTTAACATGGTCTGGACATGTAGGGTAATGGTAGAGTTGTTGCCTTGTTGTATATGCAAGGTCCTGAGTCCAATCCCTAGCATTACAAACAAACTAAGCGCATAAATAAATAAATAAAGTTTTGTGTATGGAACCGACTTTAGGAGAAAAATCCTGTCCTGAAAATTTTTCATCCCTACTTAGTCCAAACCAACATTTCAATGTTACTACTATGCATCTCAAAGAACAAAAATATAAAAGGCTCCTGTGACCTAAGTCTATTTTACAAATTTAAGATCCTTGTAAAAATTAAAAACTATAATAAAGAAGCTATGAAGCTAGGACAGTGATGCACAACTATAATCCCAGCTAATCCTGAGAATGAAGGAGGATCTCTTCAGTCCCACAGTTTGAGGCCAGCCTGAGTAACATATTGAGATCCAGTCCCCCCCCCCAAAAAAAGAAAAAAAGAAAAAGCTATTTAGAAAATTCAACATTTTTTTCCTATTAAAAAAATTCTATAGACCAGTAGCATAAGTAGTGGTACTACTTGAAGAGGCATCTATATAATGTGCCTTGTTTGTCTAAAAGGAGCTAGATAAGCTGTATTTCATAATCATAACACTACACAAATATGCTCAGGACTTTCAATAAGTGAGTATTCATGGTTAAGTTTTCTCTGCAGCCTGGTGTGATGGCAAACACCTGTAATACCAGCACTCAGGAGACCAAGGCAGGAAGATCATTGTGAATTTAAGACCAATATAGGCTACACGGTGAGTTTAAGGCTGGCCTGAGATGCATACTGAGAACTTATCCCAAAACTAAAACAAAATAAGAAAAATTTTTTTACAAGATTCGACTATTATACTTAGTTTTCATATATTAATACAAGAATTCAGTAGTAAAGACAATACCCTCAATTTATTATTCAAGATGAAGGTACAATGGAAGACTACCTTGAAGTTGACTAGAAGACAATTTTGTTCTGAAGACTTCTACGTTTCAAAGACATCATCCATCAGACTTATATGTGTTCAATAAATATCTGATTTTAGAAATAGCTACTTTTAAAGTCACAAAAACTACAAAATTTACCTCATTAATCCCAGGGATATTCTACTCTGTACTAAATACAATTATGCAGTGTTTATTACAGGACATATGTCAGAAACTAAGATCCCATTAAAAGTGCTGCTCTGATACCTCCAATTATCCTGTGGCTCGTGAAGCTAAGCAGTAGCTGACCCCATCCCCATACTGTTCCCAGGGCCCTCAATGTGGCACAGAAAATACACAAATCATCTAAAAATATGAATAAACAAGGATCACTGTAGTGATCTTTGATGCATTCAACAAGGAAACTGCATACACAAGGTTCTTTGGAGCTGAGGAATAATTTGATCACATTGGCTTGCATAGCATTTGCAAGGGCCTGAATTTAATCCCCAGCACCATTTTTTTTTTTTTTTTTTTTTCAAAAGGTCTTTCTTGGGGCTGGGGATTTAGCTCAGTGGCATAAGCACCTGCCTTGCAAGTGTGTGGTCATGAGTTCGATACCTAGTACCAATAAAAAAGAAAAAGACCAAAAAAAATTTAAAAAACAAAAAAAGCTATTTCTTAGGGCCCAGGGATTTAGCTCAGCAGCAGAAGCACCTAATGGCAAGTACAAGGTCATGAGTTTGAACCCTGGTACCAAAAATAAGTTCTTTATTTGCCTATAGTCAACCTAATAGTTCAATAATTTCACAAGTATTGTAATTTGTTAGTAGTACATATATAACATGAGATCAGTTCTAAGGTTAGTCATCAAAAGCACTTAAAACTCATTTTGATACTTACTGTTTTACATTAACTTAAAACCACACAAAATAAATAGCTACCCATATTAAGAAACTATACCCTAAAAACTAATTCTTAGACACTAAATTTAGTAAACTCGATTAAAAGATTAATATAGACAATTTCTTAAGAAAAACAAGTTCATATTTCAACCAATAACTAGTTTTCCTAATGCCAGCTAGAGCATGGCATATGCTGCTTACTAAGAAACTGAATGCTTCCCAATCACCGCTCTATAAAAAATTACTCTGGCACTGGTATAGGTCACTACATGTTACAGTATGTATGCCAATATATCACTGTTACTAAATTTTTTTTTTTTTGTACCAGAGATCAAACTCACAACCTAGCACTTGCCAGGCAGGCACTTAATGCTGAACTAAATCCTCAGCCCCAGCTGTTACTAAATCTTAACCACACCACACTGTGAGTTACCAAATAGATTTTTTAAAAATTTTTCTTAGAAAAAAAAGGGGAAAAAAAAGCAGCTCCTGACCTCTGTGAAATAACTTCAGTCATAATCCTGTCTCACTGAGCTGATATTTACAGCTTATTTTGTACTCTTGAATTTCACTACATGCATATGTCAAATGTGGCCATTCTGATACAAGATAAATACTAAACAAGGTAACTGTACAACTCACACAATTTGAATC